CTTTGGAAATTTTAACAAATTTGTGGCGCCCTACAAAATAAATTTTGTCACAATATTTGAATTTCTAACTTTGATATGATAATTTGAAAAGTATAGATATTCGGTACAACAGTGAAGAAATAGGCTAATTAGAGACCAATTTATATGACAGATTTTAATGTAGGCATTTATTCATATGTAAACATTGTGAGATAGCTAGTTAGCTAGTTAATTAAACCAAGTTTTGCTCACTCAGTGTTTTTTTGATTTTACAGCTGGGTAATTGTTGCAGTAGCACGAGATGGCTTGATTTAAAACTTTGAATTGAATAAAAAATGAAAGGAGGCTAAGCAGTTAATAATAAAATAAGAACAAATAAAGAAATTACTAATGATAGCACAAATAAAAAAAATCACGATAGGCCTACAAATTAAATAAATTGCTTTTTAGTTTTTCGGGTAGGTCTAACACACAGTAGGGCTATTAAGAGATTTTCTTTTTTTTACCAATTATCCAAATAATGTTTAATCCTAGAAAGCTATTATTATCATCAGAGGACACATGAGCATAACGGTTAGCAGATCAATGAATGAGAGGGCAGTGTTACTAGAGTTGCCCATTTACCACACCTTGTTACAGCACATTAGGGCTATTGCAAACAGAACTGTATTACATAGATGTTTCCTGTCAGCTCGATTTTTGGACTTTGCTGTTCCGATGAGCATGAACGGTATATGAGTGGAGCGACTAAGCGGAGAGCGCACACGGATAGAGCGGGATAATACACAGAGCATCACACCACATGAAAGTAAATCCTGAGCGGTGAACATTCTGAGAATCTTTAGTAATTTCGATTCAAGTTACATATGCAAATTACGCAAACGCAGCACCAGTTCACTGAAACCAAACATTTTTGAAAACGCCTGCCAGGGTGAAGATTTTCAAAAACTCAGGTTGCAGTGTCGTGTAGACAGCGAAAGCGGAGTTTTTGGCTTGTGACGTCGGAGCCTGTGCTGTTATCTCCGCCTACTGGAAACTTTTTCAGGCTTCTGATTGGCCAACATGGCTTTACGGTTGAGATTATATCGCCACCTGTTGGTGACCTGACAGTGCTTCATAGCATGCGTTTGCGTTTTCATGTGGACGGAGATTTTTTTTTTTTTAAACGGAAGGGGGAAAAACTCAGTTTATAAAAATACCCGTGTACGTGTGGACATGGCCTAAAAGTAAATGGTAAGAATTTTTATTGTTTTTGCTCACTAAGGCAACATTTATTTGATCAAAAAAATACAGTAAAAATTGTAATATTGTGGAATATTTTTACAATTTAAAATGGCTGTTTTCTTTTTGAATAATATTTTAAAATGTAATTAATTTCTGTGATGTAAAGCTGAATTTTCAGCATCATTACTCCAGTCTTCAGTGTCACATGTTCCTTCAGAAATCATTCTAATATGCTGATTTGCTGCTCAAGAAACATTTCTGATTATTATCAATGTTGAAAACAGTTGTGCACTTTTGTGGAAACAGTGATAGATTCCCTGGACTCTTTGATGAATGGAAACTTCAAAATAACAGCATTTATTTGAAATAGAAATCTTTTGTAACATTATAAATGTCATATGCATATGTAATGTTACTGTGACTTTTGATCAATTTAATGTGTGCTTGCTGAATAAAAGTATTCATTTCTTAAATAAAAAAATCTTACAGACCCAAACTTTAGAATTCTAGCTTCGAAAAGACTTCTCCATGGAGAAAAAATAACAACATGCAGGTTTGGAATGACATGAGGGTGAGTAAATGACAGGATTTTAATTTTTGGCTGAACTGTCTCTGTTTAAATCAGCACATGAAGAGCACAGACACGGGGCTGAAGCTGGTATCTCATGCAGTATTTGATCAGCTGCTCATTTTTCAATCATGGCTCACAGACATTCAAATCAGCTCACAAGCACGCCAAAGAACTACTGCCATACAGAAGACAAGGCAATGAACATGCAATGCAAATATATTGTTTATCCACTGAACACGCATGCTTTCTAAAGCTGTGTTCACGTGTGAGCCGTAGCTGTGCACACAGTATGTGCGTATGACGTATGTACTCACTCCTGGTGCTTTACGTTTACGAGCGGGTCGTCCGACTCTTCGTGTTGGTGTGTCCGTCACTCTCTCTTCATGCGTGACCTCACACACTTCCTGTTCCGCCTCTGGACTCTAAAACAAACAAACACACAAACACATCAGAAATACAACAAACACACACACACTTACACTCTCTTTTCTCTTTCATTTGAAGCTGTAATCTGAGATAATCAAAACTCCTCTATACAAGAAGATATTCATTCTCTAAAATATTCTCTCTATAAAAAAAAAAAGTTTGACCTATTTTTCAGCAAACAAGCACCTACCAATGACAAAAATCAGCAGAATTAAATACAATTAACTTAATGTGATTTTTTATAATTTTCATATAATTTAAGTTATACAATATTATACATATATCATACCCATATAATAAATAAAAGAATATGATAAAAATGAATAAATATTATTAGAAACAAAATCATTTTAAAATTTTAATTTTAAGAACTTTTATTAACTATGGAGGACGAAACCTGCAAAAACAATAAATAAATAAATACACAAATAAATAAATAAATAAATGTGTGCATAAATACATGTATTCTTGTTTAAATACATAAATAAATAATTAGACATGTGATGAAAGTAGGCAAATAAATGAAATAAATTGGTGGGCAAATGGAAAATGTTTAAGGAAATGCTAAACTCCTCCTAAATATTTTCCTTTGATCACTCATTTATTTCTGAATGTAGTTCCACATTTTTTTTCCTCTGCGCAACATAATCAACAAGTGTAAAATAATAAAATAAAAAAAGGAATTTTACTTTGAAGAACTTATAATAAAATAATTTTAATTTGAAAGACTTTAATAAAATAAAATAAAATAAAAAAAATAATAATAAAAAGGAAAAAAAATTCTCTAAAAGGAATGACTAAAAGGAATTTTAATCTGAAGGACTTAGATCTATGAGTGTATAATAAAATAAAATAAAGGAATTTTAATTTGTAGCATAAATTAGCATAAAATAAAATAGATTTTTAATAAAGGACTTTGATCTATGAGTGTAAAAGGAATTTTACTTTGAAAAACTTATAATAAAATTAATTAAACAATTTTAATTTGAAAGACTTTAATAAAATAAAATTAAATAAATAAAAAATTATAATAAAAAAGAAAACAATTCTCTAAAAGGAATGACTAAAAGGAATTTTAATTTGAAGGACTTAGATCTGAGTGTATAATAAAAATAAATTAATAAAATAAAGGAATTATAATTTGAAGCATAAATTAGCATAAAATAAAACTAAATAAAATAAAAAACGGATTTTTAATTTGAAGGACTTTAATCTATGAAAAGAAAAGAAATGGGAAGGATCATAGGACTTTGATCTATGAGTGTATAATAGAATTAAATTAAACAAAATAAAATAAAATACATTTAAGGACCTTAAGGAGCATATTTTCCAGTCACAAATTCACACCCACACACGTGCGCGTGTGCAGAGATGATCCGTCTGGACTCTCTCAGAGGGGATCCAGTCGGATGAGAGCGGTTACTAAGGTGAAATGCTGCTTAGCAACTGTCTCCAGCAGGTCATGATGCTGCTCTCCCGAACAAAACCATGAGGTCATTTCCCTGGCAACAATCCCGGCAACCATGTGCCCACTAATGTTATTTATCCGCTAGTGTTATCACACACAACCATGAAGCCACAACACACATTGTGCAGATCTAATTCATGAACTCTCCTGTCTCTCTCATAAATCGTTCTGTCGTAACCTTTGAAACAACATGAAGTTTAATCAGTCCCCACAGGTCAGGGGTCACCAGGGGAGTATTTCTGCAAACGAGCGTGTGTGAAACTGCCTGAATGGATGTTAATCGTCATTAAACATTAACCTCAAGTCCATTAGAGATACGAAAACCACCAATGAACGTGACATGAACTCCACTCATCTGGGTTGCATCATATTAGTCGACTGATATTTCAGTGGGTCAGTGGAGCGTAATGGACCAATCAAAGACTTCAGCCTCAATCAAGAGAGACGCGATGAACCGTAACCACAGTCTAAAGACTAATGTCAGCTAAATACCAAATATATCGGAGGAAAGACTACAATTGTAGTATTTATAATAGTACAAAAGATTTTTATTCAAATAAATGCTGTTCTTTTGTACTTTCTAGTCAGCAAAGAATCCTGAGAACAATTTACAATAACTTTGTAACTGTTTTCAACACTGATAATAATCAGAAATGTTTCTTGAGCAGCAGATCAGCATATTAGAGTGATTTCTGAAGGATCGTGTGACACTGAAGACTGGAGTAATGATGCTGAAAATTCAGCTCTGCATCACAGGAATAAACAGAATTTTACAATAGACAGTTATTTTAAATTGAATAATATTTCACAATATTACAGTTTTTACTGTAGTTGTGATCAAATAAACGCAGCCTTGGTAAGCAGAAAATACTTTATTCAAAAACATTTTTTAAATCCTACCGACCCTAAACTTTTGAACGGTAATGTATAATCGCAATTCACAGTGTACAGTAGTTTTTACTGTATTTTTGATTATATTTATATTTTGTAATTATTTTATATATAATTAGTTAATCATTTTAACATACAATTGTTTTGATTTATTAATAATTAGTAATTATTTTAAAAAGTACTTTAAAAAAAAGTTGATCAAGAGTCATTTCAAAACAAACAGAATCTTGAATAATATATAAAGAATATACAGTATATACACACACATATATAAATCACAGAAATAGCATAATTAAGTATCGTATGATTTATTGCAGTGCCTTATAATAATACAGAGCTAAACATGGTAGTAATTGTACTAATATGATAATTAGTTCTAATTGTCGTGGGTTGGTTGTATTGTAAGAGTACAGTATAAACACATGACTCAGTATGTCAGCGGTTAACAGTATAGCAGAATATTACATCAGAACATCAGAGCGCGGAGACATTTTGTGTCTGCTTTTGTCATCTCCAGATTATTTCGGTCATCAGTGGGTTATTTTGGGCCACTGCTGTTGCCAAGCAACCAGACTGGGCCGAGAACAGGAGGAAGTTCCCTGGTGTAACGAGTCTGTTGGGTCCAGCACCTCTCTCTCAATATCTCTCTCTCGCTCTCTTCCACACACTCTGCTCTCCATCTCCAGGTAGAATCACACACATATATATAAAGGCTGATATGACTGAAGAAAATACACCTGCACACTGTCCTATAGGCACCAATTTAAATCAATAAAAATATAACATTAAACATAATTTAAATATATTATAATATATTCAAATATATTATAATATTTAAAAATGTATATTTGTTTTATTTAAAAAAATCTAAGTATTATAATTAAAATAATTCCCAATCTTTTTCAAATCCTCCATTGAAATTCCACCAAAATATACCACCAAAAACATGTATATGAACACAAATATGGCTACTTATGAATTCATATTGAGTTTTACATTAGTAACATTTGTTTTCAAACATTTTTTCAGTTAGAATAAAGCACATCCAGGACATGTGTTGAATGTGTGTGCTCCTGTATGCAAGCACGAGCATTTAAATGGGTCGATTTTCTCTGCCAAAGCAAACACTGATCTGATCACTGCCATAAATACTATATCAGCCAATAAATAACTTCAGCCGGGTTCACGGAGGGCATCTGAATGAGTACAAACAACACACACATCCGAGATCTCAAACACACCTTTTGCCCTGCTCAAGATCGATTACTAAAGCTCTAGTAACTGATTCACCTGCTCAACAGACCAAAGTTGGTGCAAAGTTAATAAAAACCAATGAAAACACTACAGTTAACCAGCTCACACCCCAACACATACTGTAATAAAATGCTTCTTTCAGTACACAGATTTTTAGACTGGAAATAGCTCATATCATCATCACTAGATCACTAGATTTAGGTGTAAACTGGCTCTCTTCCCTGCAAAATACACTGTAAAACCAATTCACCTACAATATTACATGAAAATCTACCACATGCCTCACCTCACATGACTTCGAGCTCTATAAATCAGTTAGACAAGGCTTTCTGAACACTGTAAGACCAGTGTACATAAACTACCGAGGCTGTGTGCTGCTCCAACAGCTGAAAACAGATTTATAATAACTGAATGGCCATTAAACTGTAAGAGGAGCGGAGCAGGAAAATGAAGAGTTACGGAGAGTTACTAGAGCGTTCCTACACACCCACAGTCGTAACCTCAATGACACTGCGGCGGTTCTCTCGAGATTCCTGAGGTCAGTAGGACGGTAAAATCTCTCTCTCTCTGACGGGTTCCAGGTTAATGCTCATCCGTGATTTTAATGAGATTCCCTAATCATCCATGTGGTTATTTCGCCAACTGATTCCAAAGATGGGCCATTTCAGTTAAAGAGAACATTTGACTAGCACAGAGGTGAGATTTTATTTGTTTAAATGGGTTAGTTCTGTCATCACAGGGCCCTATACAGGTATAACACAAAAAATGCTACAATAACATCAAATTAAAGCCATAATATTCGATTATTGCAACTCGGCATACATAACTAGCCTTACAGCTTAAGGTACAGTTATAACACATGAGTAACATATCTTTCTTAATATAAGTTATCTTATAAGCGTTGCTGTTTTTGTCGCTTTTAGGCTAAAAACATTTTGCACTAACATTCAAACACAGACATAATGGACATAAATACTGTGCATAGCCTAATTATTTAAGTGTGATCTGAAAAAGAATGGTAAAAATGCTAATTTAAGCTAATTTTGGCCCCCTTGTGGCAATTGTGAGAATGAAACGCCTACTTAGATTGCGTAGCAAGCGTTTGTGTTCACGTAGGCTACTTGCGCAAAGCGTTCATACCACGGCATTCTGGTAAAACTTACTCATCTTATTTACACGTACAGTGGTGTGAAAAAGTGTTGGCCCCCTTCCTGATTTCTTATTTTTTTGCATGTGTGTCACACTTTAATGTTTCAGATTATCAAACAAATTTAAATATTAGTAAAATATAACAACATGCAGTTTTTAAATGACGGTTTTTATTATTAATGGAAAACAAAATCCAAAACTACATGGCCCTGTGTGAAAAAGTGTTTGCCCCCTAAACCTAATAACTGGTTGGGCCACCCTTAGCAGCAACAACTGCAATCAAGCGTTTGCGATAACTTGCAATGAGTCTGTTACAGCGCTGTGGAGGAATTTTGGTCCACTCATCTATGCAGAATTGTTGTAATTCAGCCACATTGGAGGGTTTTCGAGCATGAACCGCCTTTTTAAGGTCATGCCACAGCATCTCAATAGGATTCAGGTCAGGACTTTGACTAGGCCACTCCAAAGTCTTCATTTTGTTTTTCTTCAGCCATTCAGAGGTGGACTTGCTGGTGTGTTTTGGATCATTGTCCTGCTGCAGAACCCAAGTTCGCTTCAGCTTGAGGTCACGAACTGATGGCCGGACATTCTCCTTCAGGATTTTTTGAGTAAACAGCAGAATTCATGGTTCCATTTATCACAGCAAGTCTTCCAGGTCCTGAAGCAGCAAAACAGCCCCAGACCATCACACTACCACCAACCTATTTTTACTGTTGGTATCTTTTTTCTGAAATGCAGTGTTACTTTTACGCCAGACGTAATGGCACACACACCTTCCAAAAAGTTCAACTTTTGTCTCGTCAGTCCACAGAGTATTTTCCCAAAAGTCTTGGGGATCATCAAGATGTTTTCTGGCAAAACTGAGACGAGCCTTTATGTTCTTTTTGCTCAGCAGTGGTTTTTGTCTTGGACCATTTTTGCCCAGTCTCTTTCTTATGGTGGAGTCATGAACACTGACCTTAACTGGGGCAAGTGAGGCCTGCAGTTCTTTGGATGTTGTTGTGGGGTCTTTTGTGACCTCTTGGATGAGTCGTCGCTGTGCTCTTGGGGTAATTTTGGTCGGCTGGCCACTCCTGGGAAGGTTCTCCACTGTTCCATGTTTTTGCCATTTGTGAATAATGGCTCTCACTGTGGTTCGCTGGAGTCCCAAAGCTTAGAAATGGCTTTATAACCTTTTTCAGACTGATAGATCTCAATTACTTTTTCTCATTTGTTTCTGAATTTCTTTGGATCTCGGCATGATGTCTAGCTTTTGAGGATCTTTTGGTCTACTTCACTTTGTCAGGCAGGTCCTATTTAAGAGATTTCTTGATTGCGAACAGGTGTGGCAGTAATCAGGCCTGGGTGTGGCTAGAGAAATTGAACTCAGGTGTGATAAACCACAGTTTTAACAGGGGGGCAAACACTTCTTCACACAGGGCCATGTAGTTTTGGATTTTGTTTTCCCTTAATAATAAAAACCTTCATTTAAAAACTGCATGTTGTGTTTACTTGTGTTATCTTTGACTAATATTTAAATTAGTTTGATGATCTGAAACATTAAAGCGTGACAAACATGCAAAAAAATAAGAAATCAGGAAGGGGGCCAACACTTTTTCACACCACTGTAAATGTGTATCTAATGAGATGGGAAAGCTTTTAACATATTCTCTATTATAAGGGCATTTCCTTTTTGTTATTGTTTAACAAATTCCAAGCATCGTTTTGTGTTTATTAACACCACATTTATTCTACAAGCGAGCGTTGCGCAAAAAAGGCTCCATAATCGACAAACGCTTCATTGATTGTTTTGCCGCTTACATACACGATAAAAACAAGATATACTAATATAACAACTTTCTGGAGAATTAAGAGAGCATTCATGAAAATTAACCATGGTTTTATTGTAGTAAAAGTGTAGTAAAGTTTTTTTTTTTTTGCCGTATTGATTACCATTTGTATAACCACAGTTTTACTACAAATACCATGGTTAAACTATGGTTAGTGTAGCAAAACCATGGTTAATTTGTGGCTACCATGGTTTTACTATAGTAACCATGTTTTTTTTACTTAATTTGTAGTAAAACCATGGTTAATTTTCTTTTAAACAATTTTCAACAACAATTTTACTGCAAAGCCATATCTACGCTGTATATCAGTGACGCGTCAAATGTAGAACGTTGCGTCATATTTAACGAAATCGGATTAACCAACGTGCATACTAGTGATGGGAAGTTCGGATCATTTTACTGACTCGGACCTTTGAGTCTCGTTCAGCAAAATGAACTAATCTTTTTTCGAGTCATTTCGTTCATTTTAGCAAAATATAATTAAATTGTTACGTGTTACTTCCCTAATACGTCAACTACTTACGCAAACGTTGATCACACTACAAACAATACAAAACTGCTGTAAGAAACAGAAAAGATTAATTCATTGTTTACCTGGATCTTCAGTCTATGATTAGCTCACCTCACCTCTTATCTGACAAGTCTTGGGGTTTGGGCTTATGGGCCTGTCTCGTGATGAACGAACGACTCGGGGAAAAACCCGAAGACTCGAAACAGGTGAACTACTTGACTAATTCCAGTACAGAACCTATAGGATGTTGCGCATGCGCGACTGAACGAATCACTCCCCGAGACGACTCGTTCTTCCCGAGTCACAATAAAGATCCGTTCAAAATGAACGAATCGTTGAAGAACGACCCACCCAACACTAGTGCATACAGTGCATACAGTGCAAGCGCGCGCTTGGCTGAATATAGCCTACTAACTGGAGCGTTGTAGTTTTGTCTCTTTTAGACCTCGTAGACGCTGTAAAAAGGTGTTTTACTCGCAGCCTGGTTTGTCCTTCTCACTTTGCCCGTGTCTGGCGGCTTCCACTCGGTTCCCCAGCACACACACACACACACACTCACTCTCTCTCACACACACACGCACGCACACACACACACACACACACACACACACACACACTCTCTCTCACACACACACACACACACACACACACCAGTGACGAAACGAATGGCTCTTACCGTTTTGTTCGCCGCTGCGTCACAGTCCAGATCAAGAGGCATGATGAAACAAAAACACACTACAGGCCTGATCGATGCATTTGAAATCAACGCAAATGAAATAAAACATTAAAATGCTGAGGGACTTTTGTGGCGATGAAACTGATCCACCTTCAGACCATCAAATCCTCCTTCTCCCTGCGAAACCAAACACAACAACGACCCTATTAATTTATTTCTGGAGTAAAATGGACATTTATACATTAATAGTGCAAGGTTGTAGGAAATCTGATGACTTATATTCTGGCAAAATCTATGAAAGGCGACATATCTTGTATAAGAGCACAAGAGGAAACACAAGAGTGCTATCTATCATGTTTCCCTCATTATCTCCTGGTATAAATGAGCCAAGATTGTCTTATCAAATCACGACAGTTCGTAAAAAAGACTTGATTTGTGTCGACAGAAGACAAACAGCAGCCAGTTTGTGGTTTAATGTGGAAAGTCTGTAACATGGCGGGCGTTTGAGTCCCTGCCAGTTTGTCTTTGCGCTTTATAACGCGGCCGCGTCGCGTCGCGTCAATCCCACGACGCTCTGGAAAAACAAGCGCATTTCTCATTTATTTATAACATCTCATTCATTTTCACATAATCTCATTTAAAAAGCTCCGACATATCATTAGAACACCAGTCAAATGAAGAGCTTTACTGATGAAGAGCGAAATGAGTTTGCTGTCATCTTATTCACATAAAATCAGATTTGAGAAAAAAAAAGGGTGTTGATAAACTACAATATGATGTTCGCCAGATTTGATTAATTAATTACATCTATTAAATGGAACTGAAGTATTTTTTAAACACACAATGAGCCATTAGGAAAAGGAAATTCGGCCTGGCCACTATTTTAGATCCATCTAAACACACAATAGGGCGTTTCTGATGTTAAACAATGAGCAAGTAGAAGAAATGAAAGGGAAAATCCAGAATAAAGTTTTTGCAACACCTTCAGGTTCAGCACAGAATCTTCTTCTTATGAAAAAACGAATCTTTCACTGTATTTCACTCTTTGGAGACGACAAAGTCCTTGATATTAAATGTTCTCCAGATAATGTTTTTACTACCAGCATGCTTTCTAATTTTTTTTTAAGATTTTTTTTTTCGTTCTCCTTTGCTGTAATATTTATTTATATATTTCTGAGCATTTAGAAAGCGCTCAAGGTGTTCATAAAGTTGCATGAGTGATCACAAGCAGTGAAGCCCATGACACCTGACACATGTGTGCTTAGAGCGGACAGACCTTCATGAATAAACACAAACTCAAAAACGCATATTTAATTACAGTTAATATAATAGGCTACAGTGGAGACACCATGAGCCTAATACACTAACATAGGTCAAGAGCTTTCATGCTTTCTAAAATATATTTTAGAAATATTTAAAACCTCATTAACATCCAAAACCAATGACTATAACATATTTTGCTATAATGACATCTGCACAAATAATCCTGAAAGAGGCCTCACATGAATTAACATCTCAAGATCAACCGGAAGAGCTTTTTTTCCTTAGTTATTTTTAACCTTCGTTTGTCACGTAAGAGGAACATTTACACTCTAAGTTGAGATCAAGTCAAAGTTATTGATAGATATTGCATTGAACCCTGACGATGAAGTGTAATGCCGGTTGCCAGACTTCAGCTCGCTTCATTCACACATGAACTGAATTAACATGTCATATGAACTCAGGCGAGCGGACAGAAGGAGAACTCTTTTAAGGCAGCAGCTGCTGGATTTTGCAATGCACATCTGCGCAGATCTGAAATCATCATCTTCACCACCACCATCTTCTTCATCATCTTCATCATCATCATCCTCCTCCTCATATGTCAGAGAGAAGCTCGGTGTGTGTATATCTGTGTTAATTACCCGTTTCGCCATGCAGCCCCGGGCCTGAACCCTCCGGTGGTCGCGCGCTGCCCGTCTTCCCTCCGCGTCTCTCCCCGTCCTGACCCTCCCCGGCACCGGCACCGGCCTGCTCCGCTCCGCCGTCTCGGTCTTCAGACGCCGCAGAGGCCCGTCAGCAGGAAGGAGTTCGCGGGGTCCTAGAGCCCGTTATATCTGGATCACCAGTGACGTCACAGTAATCACGCGCACTGGAGAGATCGATTAAACACGTGATTTGTCAGGCATTATAAATTTGTTTTGCCGTCTGGTTAAACATTTCTGTCTTATGTTCTTGTTTTACTTACATGTTGGTTGCTATAGCTTGATTTTACAGTGTAATTTGGCACATCAGCCGTGAAGGGGTCATATGATGCGATTTCAAGTGTTCCTTTCTCTTTGGAGTGTTACAAACTGATTGTGCATAGATAAGATCCCTGAAGTTGCAAAGACTAAAGTCTCAAACCCAAAGAGATATTCTTTATAAAAGTTAAGACTTGTCCACGCCCCCCTAAAGCACCTCGTTTAAACCCGCCCCCACATGTCTACATCACTGTGTGGGAAGATTTGCATAACACCGCCCAAATGTTCACGCAAAGAAAGAAGGCGTAGCTTTTATTCTCGCTGTAGTTTTGTTGCCGTCAACACAACAACGCACCAAACGTGAGTTTTGAGCAGTGTAGAGTAGCACTTGTTGTTTGTCATTTCTCCGATCACAAATGCAGACATGGTTTTATGTTTACGCAGCGCGATGCAACGCAACTTGTAAAAAGACAGTATAAGTCATTATAATCAGTAATTATGTCCCCACTGGATGCAACGAATGTCTCGTTTATAATGGGTTTTAATTAGGGATGCACCGATAGGATTTTTTGGGGCCGATACCGATACCAATTTTAACAATCACTTATTGGCCGATTCCAATACCGGTACCGATATTTGTCACTTCCTCTCTTATTTGAAATTTTGGCATCAATATAGATAGTATTTTGATAATTTTTTTAATCAGCAAAGTTCAAAAACACCTGCATTAAATTATACTAGCAGTTTTATTGCTGCATCATCAAATAATTTCTAATGAACATGGATTGGATCCATTTAACATTCAGCAGGCCTACATAAATACAACAGAACAAAGATACATATTAAATAAACAGTGCTTTTTAGGTAGGTTTAACAGTTTATAGGTACAGAAATAAAGTAAACAAATGTAAAATAACACTACACTGTATAAATATCGGCGGCCGATACATCGGTGTATCTCTAGTTTTAATGTTTTTGTCTCGTCGCTCCGGCCGGACAGTGCATAACAGTATGGTGAGGGGCGTAACATTTCCATCACATGCTTGAGGTATTCGGCCAATCACAACGTACTGGATAGCTGGCCAAACAGAGCACACCTCGCTTTTCAGATCGATGAGCTTTGTAAAAATCGACGCGTTTCAGAAAGGCGGGGCATAGAGGAGAAACAATAATGTACAGTATGTGGAAAATGTGTTTTTTTAACCTTAAACCACATAAACACATTTTATTACACCAAATACACAAAATAATGTTCTTTTTTAGCAACGTCATATGACCCCTTTAAGGTCAGTCGGGGTCTCATATAGCCTAAGAAATTCCTAAGGAATATCGGCCTGTGTGTACCATATTTTTGTTCTTGAAAATGTTCTTGAAATAAGTCAAAAACATTAAAATAAGTATTTGATGAAAAATACATTAAAACGGTATTAATGTTAAATATATTACAATGTAAAACAACGTGTTTCTATTTTAATATAGGTTATATATACATATATTTCATATATATATAAAACGGCCTCCTCATTTTAAAACATCATTGCACACCACTAATAAATAGCTCTCTCTCTCTCTCTATAGCCATATATTATATATATATATATATACATATACACACACACACACACACACAGAGAGACAGAGATAAAGATGCGGTAACACTTTATTTTACAGTGTTCTTGTTACATGTTACATGCACTTACTGTAAGCAATAACAAAAAATTAGGCATAATCACATGCAACTAAGTGTAAACCAAACCCTCATCCTAACCCTAACCATATAGTCAGTGCATGTAGTTCATTAATATTACTCAGTACTTGAATGTATAAATATACTGTAACAAGGGCACCATAAAAAAAAAGTGTAAGCAAAAATGCCAGTCATTCAGTACCACGTAATACATTTGTATTACCATAGTACCATTTTTTTAGAGGACTTGACCTCTGCAAGGGGCCAAACACAGAATAATATAACTGTAAGAGAGAGAGACAGACAGACAGACAGGGCAAGCAAGACAGGCGAGGAATGGTGTCCTTGAGTGAATCTCTGCAGCGTCTTATTCTGTCACACACAGATTTCCCCCAGAGTACACGTCTGTTCATGCTGCTCTCATTAAAATTCACTCCACGTCACGCCTGCTCACGCTGGCAGAGTGCCGAGACCCTCAGACTGCCCGTCTCGCTCTCTCTCTCGCACACACAGGTACTCGTAGTGAGGAGTTTACAGCTCTCAGATCTCACTTATACTGTGACAACAGAAGAGCAAACATGCAACTCATACAAAGAGTAAAGCATGTGGATCTTGGCATACTGCCCTACAAAGTACTATGTACACAAAAGTATATACCGTTCCATCACCAGAGAAGTACATGCTTTTAGTGCATAGTAGTATGCAAATTTGGTCACAACCACTGAGAGCATCATATTACAAGAGTATGGAAATCCGTTTCCACAATAGAATAAAACCAAACAAGAGTAACTGCAACTTTTTATCTGAAAATGTTGTGCTTATATCTCACAATTCTGACTTTTTTCCTCAGAATTGCAAGACATGCACAAAGAATTGTGAGATAACTAAGAATTTTCTCGCAATTCTCAGTCCTCACAATTTTGACTTCTCAGAATTGCAAGTTTATATCACAGTTCTGAGTTTGTATTTCACAATTCTGACTTTTTTTTCTCAGAATTGTGAGAAACAAAGTCCGACTTCTGAGATAAAATTCACAATTACCCTTTTTAAAATGTATTTATTTATTGGAATTGCGATATATAAAAACAGAATTGTGAGAATTACGATTTTTCTCTCTCTCAGAATTGCAATTCAGAGTCTATATCTCTCAATTTGGATTTTTCTTAGAATTGTGAAAAAAAATGTAAAAATCTTTATTATAAAATGTTTTATATAAATTTTTTTTCAATTCCGTGGTGGAAACGGGTGTCCATATTAAAGAGAGAAAAGGAAAAATGAATACTCCAGTCTTTTTTGTTTGTTTTCAAGATATCATTTATTCTGAACACAACAAATCATCACTTGAAATCACATGCATGTAAATCACGGCCTCATTTCTGTAAAATTTGCTTCTTAAAAAAATATGAAAATGTTGTTCGGTGGAAAGAGTGAAACACTGCGGCTACCGGCACCGTAATGATCGCCTCCACCAAACCAGCCAGCTTTCACAGAAGAGCTCTTGATCCGAAGGGCACAGGAAGTGATGTCATTAAGCCCCATGTACCGCAGGTAGAATCACATGACGCAGAGGTCCAGAAACAAATAAGTCCATGAATTAACTTGGCGGGGGAAAAAAACTAATTTTTATCGGAGTAAATAAGCTGAAAGACTTCAAACAAACTAAATCAACAAGTAATTTTTGGCAGATATTTAAGATTAAAATTAAATTAAGGCATCAATATGATTCACATTCCAGCTTTGCACAAACACACGGCTATAGAGAGGCACACAAGTACACACACACCTCCAGAAAAACACACAGCAGGTCAGACGTGCGCGCAAATGTTTGTAGGTAAGAAATGTCCATTCACAGGAAATATTGACTACAAACAGTGCTTCTAGAAAAAAAATCAACAAAATTAACAATTGGTAAAACTCTCCAGTAATAGGAGCACAGTACATCCACCTCTTTATTAAAGTACCTATTTGAAAATCTGTAAAACTAAATAAATCTGATCTTAAATATACATAAATGCTGAATTGGACTTGAAAATCTGAACTCAAATATTTGAAACGACCAAAATATTTCCTCGAATGTACATGGAAAAGCTGCTAAAATGCTGTCCGTCTACTGAAAATAAATAAAAAAGTAAATCGAAAATAAATTACAGTACTGAACTCGACCCTTTCTTTAATTTAGTTCCTTTAGAAGGTCATTTATACTGCATTTGCAGCAACTGCGTCCTTGAAATCAACATGACCACACCCACATCCAACAAACCACGCCCACATACCTCAGCCAGCCAATCAACTCATCACGTTCGTCCTTCAATCATGCATCTATTTTCTATTGCGTTCCGTTCCATTTCGTTCCCACCTCAGTCCATTTAGTCTCGTTCTGGTCAGATCTGACACGTCTTTGGGTGCATCGGTTTTTCAAAAGCTTTCAAACTTGAACAAAATCAGCTACAATATTCAAACGAGAATAACTATTCAAACTAGCAGGTCCGCAACACAGACCCTTAAAACTGCATCTCTATCTCACAAACAAAGAAGGGTAAAAAACATTGAAAACAACAAAACATTTTCCTTCTCAAGCAATCCACAGGAAGTCAAATCCCTGAACACTCTCTGATTGGCTGAGTCTGGGTTCAGAGGTCATTGTCTTTGTGGTGATGATGCGTTTGCATGGTGACACCACACCTGAAATAATGCAAAAAAAAATTTATTTGAACATTCAAAATGAACAATGCAACACCCCTACAGATATAATGCTGTGTAATACTCACATGGCACTGCTTGCTTCATATTTGGCTTAACCTGGAAAACAAAATTCAAAATGATAATTTTAAAGTTAAAGATTCACTTTAACCTTGTAAAGCCTCGCCTATGAAATAATATGCAGAAAAAAATAATTTTCTGGAATGGAACTAAAAATTTGTGCGTGTTCATGTTTTGTGCCATATTTGATACATCAGGTTTTTGGCTCAAAAAGTATGATATAGTGAGAATACAGGGCTTTTTAAGGAAACACCTCAACTTTACTCAGAACAAACAGAGCAAAAACAAGCTGATATGTATATGGACAAAAAGTAGGATGAAATTCTAACAGCTTGTAATGTAAAACAAAGAGATCTTAATAACAGTAACATAAACTGCATACAAATATGTTGTCACTCTATATCCGCTCCCAATATGTCTTAATAAGATTAGATTTAAATGTTTAGTTTAATAATCAAAGCTTTGCAGCATCAAAACATTATGCAATGCAATACAATGTTGATTGAGAGATGAACAAATAAACCTTCCCCAAAAGCCTGGTGATCATATTTGACCACATTTGAACATGATTCTTCAAAAAAAATTATGCATGTATAATTAAGCAGCCAAAGTTGCTTCCGTCAAGCATTTAATCACTAACAATGCATACAAACAATGCAAAAGTTATGCTTATGTATACTTATGCATAAAGTTTTTAAAGCAAAAACACAGACACGTGATCCACAAGCTGAAGGTGGACTTATTTAGAATTATACTAAAATGCTTTTTACTTGCTAAAAAAGCATAAACTATCAGTCAGGTGACAGAATGCATGTAGTATAGATTGTGTATAACAGGATTTTGATCATGTTGATCATTTAAAGGCCTTAGAAATTTGCCCATTGAATAAGATACAGTACACTTTATAGGGTTAATAAAGATAATATCTTGCATGGGACATCTGCTAACATACTGTAAAAGCTGTAATATTCCGACACACAGAGAGATGTTGTCTGGAAGTCTCTGGTGATCCATTAATTCTCTTATCTGGAATTAGTAAAGCTGCTTCAGCTCAGTACAGTAACTAATTGAGTAGATACTCTACCACCTTGTTTCCTCAACATAGTGTTTTAATTAAATAGACCCTCTACACAGTGTAGAACAATTGTGCACATAAAACAGCTGGCTTTCGTGTCCCTCGTTATCATATGCATAAATAATGACAAATAAACGGCTGACACCAGCTTCATTAACACATCAAAATACAGTAACTTTTTTCTTTATGTATATATGTTCCCAACTGAGATTGCTGCCCATTTTGAGGTCAGTAAGATTTTTATTTTTTTTTATTATTAATTATTACTTTTATTCATCAAGGACACATTAAATTGATCAAAAATGAGAGTAAAGACATTTATAATCTTGCAAAATATTTCTATTTCAAATAAATGCTGTTCTGGAAAAAAATAAAAGTTAAGACTTGTCCACGCCCCCCTAAAGCACCTCGTTTAAACCCGCCCCCACATGTCTACATCACTGTGTGGGAAGATTTGCATAACACCGCCCAAATGTTCACGCAAAGAAAGAAGGCGTAGCTTTTATTCTCGCTGTAGTTTTGTTGCCGTCAACACAACAACGCACCAAACGCGAGTTTTGAGCAGTGTAGAGTAGCACTTGTTGTTTGTCATTTCTCCGATCACAAATGCAGACATGGTTTTATGTTTACGCAGCGCGATGCAACGCAACTTGTAAAAAGACAGTATAAGTCATTATAATCAGTAATTATGTCCCCACTGGATGCAACGAATGTCTCGTTTATAATGGGTTTTAATTAGGGATGCACCGATAGGATTTTTTGGGGCCGATACCGATACCAATTTTAACAATCACTTATTGGCCGATTCCAATACCGGTACCGATATTTGTCACTTCCTCTCTTATTTGAAATTTTGGCATCAATATAGATAGTATTTTGATAATTTTTTTAATCAGCAAAGTTCAAAAACACCTGCATTAAATTATACTAGCAGTTTTATTGCTGCATCATCAAATAATTTCTAATGAACATGGATTGGATCCATTTAACATTCAGCAGGCCTACATAAATACAACAGAACAAAGATACATATTAAATAAACAGTGCTTTTTAGGTAGGTTTAACAGTTTATAGGTACAGAAATAAAGTAAACAAATGTAAAATAACACTACACTGTATAAATATCGGCGGCCGATACATCGGTGTATCTCTAGTTTTAATGTTTTTGTCTCGTCGCTCCGGCCGGACAGTGCATAACAGTATGGTGAGGGGCGTAACATTTCCATCACATGCTTGAGGTATTCGGCCAATCACAACGTACTGGATAGCTGGCCAAACAGAGCACGCCTCGCTTTTCAGATCGATGAGCTTTGTAAAAATCGACGCGTTTCAGAAAGGCGGGGCATAGAGGAGAAACAATAATGTACAGTATGTGGAAAATGTGTTTTTTTAACCTTAAACCACATAAACACATTTTATTACACCAAATACACAAAATAATGTTCTTTTTTAGCAACGTCATATGACCCCTTTAAGGTCAGTCGGGGTCTCATATAGCCTAAGAAATTCCTAAGGAATATCGGCCTGTGTGTACCATATTTTTGTTCTTGAAAATGTTCTTGAAATAAGTCAAAAACATTAAAATAAGTATTTGATGAAAAATACATTAAAACGGTATTAATGTTAAATATATTACAATGTAAAACAACGTGTTTCTATTTTAATATAGGTTATATATACATATATTTCATATATATATAAAATGGCCTCCTCATTTTAAAACATCATTGCACACCACTAATAAATAGCTCTCTCTCTCTCTCTATAGCCATATATTATATATATATATATACATATACACACACACACACACACACAGAGAGACAGAGATAGGGATGCGGTAACACTTTATTTTACAGTGTTCTTGTTACATGTTACATGCACTTACTGTAAGCAATAACAAAAAATTAGGCATAATCACATGCAACTAAGTGTAAACCAAACCCTCATCCTAACCCTAACCATATAGTCAGTGCATGTAGTTCATTAATATTACTCAGTACTTGAATGTATAAATATACTGTAACAAGGGCACCATAAAAAAAAAGTGTAAGCAAAAATGCCAGTCATTCAGTACCACGTAATACATTTGTATTACCATAGTACCATTTTTTTAGAGGACTTGACCTCTGCAAGGGGCCAAACACAGAATAATATAACTGTAAGAGAGAGAGACAGACAGACAGACAGGGCAAGCAAGACAGGCGAGGAATGGTGTCCTTGAGTGAATCTCTGCAGCGTCTTATTCTGTCACACACAGATTTCCCCCAGAGTACACGTCTGTTCATGCTGCTCTCATTAAAATTCACTCCACGTCACGCCTGCTCACGCTGGCAGAGTGCCGAGACCCTCAGACTGCCCGTCTCGCTCTCTCTCTCGCACACACAGGTACTCGTAGTGAGGAGTTTACAGCTCTCAGATCTCACTTATACTGTGACAACAGAAGAGCAAACATGCAACTCATACAAAGAGTAAAGCATGTGGATCTTGGCATACTGCCCTACAAAGTACTATGTACACAAAAGTATATACCGTTCCATCACCAGAGAAGTACATGCTTTTAGTGCATAGTAGTATGCAAATTTGGTCACAACCACTGAGAGCATCATATTACAAGAGTATGGAAATCCGTTTCCACAATAGAATAAAACCAAACAAGAGTAACTGCAACTTTTTATCTGAAAATGTTGTGCTTATATCTCACAATTCTGACTTTTTTCCTCAGAATTGCAAGACATGCACAAAGAATTGTGAGATAACTAAGAATTTTCTCGCAATTCTCAGTCCTCACAATTTTGACTTCTCAGAATTGCAAGTTTATATCACAGTTCTGAGTTTGTATTTCACAATTCTGACTTTTTTTTCTCAGAATTGTGAGAAACAAAGTCCGACTTCTGAGATAAAATTCACAATTACCCTTTTTAAAATTTATTTATTTATTGGAATTGCGATATATAAAAACAGAATTGTGAGAATTACGATTTTTCTCTCTCTCAGAATTGCAATTCAGAGTCTATATCTCTCAATTTGGATTTTTCTTAGAATTGTGAAAAAAAATGTAAAAATCTTTATTATAAAATGTTTTATATAAATTTTTTTTCAATTCCGTGGTGGAAACGGGTGTCCATATTAAAGAGAGAAAAGGAAAAATGAATACTCCAGTCTTTTTTGTTTGTTTTCAAGATATCATTTATTCTGAACACAACAAATCATCACTTGAAATCACATGCATGTAAATCACGGCCTCATTTCTGTAAAATTTGCTTCTTAAAAAAATATGAAAATGTTGTTCGGTGGAAAGAGTGAAACACTGCGGCTACCGGCACCGTAATGATCGCCTCCACCAAACCAGCCAGCTTTCGTATTTATTTATTGGAATTGCGATATATAAAAACAGAATTGTGAGAATTACGATTTTTCTCTCTCTCAGAATTGCAAGTTTATATCTGCAATTCAGAGTCTATATCTCTCAATTTGGATTTTTCTTAGAATTGTGAAAAAAAATGTAAAAATCTTTATTATAAAATGTTTTATATAAATTTTTTTTCAATTCCGTGGTGGAAACGGGTGTCCATATTAAAGAGAGAAAAGGAAAAATGAATACTCCAGTCTTTTTTGTTTGTTTTCAAGATATCATTTATTCTGAACACAACAAATCATCACTTGAAATCACATGCATGTAAATCACGGCCTCATTTCTGTAAAATTTGCTTCTTAAAAAAATATGAAAATGTTGTTCGGTGGAAAGAGTGAAACACTGCGGCTACCGGCACCGTAATGATCGCCTCCACCAAACCAGCCAGCTTTCACAGAAGAGCTCTTGATCCGAAGGGCACAGGAAGTGATGTCATTAAGCCCCATGTACCGCAGGTAGAATCACATGACGCAGAGGTCCAGAAACAAATAAGTCCATGAATTAACTTGGCGGGGGAAAAAAACTAATTTTTATCGGAGTAAATAAGCTGAAAGACTTCAAACAAACTAAATCAACAAGTAATTTTTGGCAGATATTTAAGATTAAAATTAAATTAAGGCATCAATATGATTCACATTCCAGCTTTGCACAAACACACGGCTATAGAGAGGCACACAAGTACACACACACCTCCAGAAAAACACACAGCAGGTCAGACGTGCGCGCAAATGTTTGTAGGTAAGAAATGTCCATTCACAGGAAATATTGACTACAAACAGTGCTTCTAGAAAAAAAATCAACAAAATTAACAATTGGTAAAACTCTCCAGTAATAGGAGCACAGTACATCCACCTCTTTATTAAAGTACCTATTTGAAAATCTGTAAAACTAAATAAATCTGATCTTAAATATACATAAATGCTGAATTGGACTTGAAAATCTGAACTCAAATATTTGAAACGACCAAAATATTTCCTCGAATGTACATGGAAAAGCTGCTAAAATGCTGTCCGTCTACTGAAAATAAATAAAAAAGTAAATCGAAAATAAATTACAGTACTGAACTCGACCCTTTCTTTAATTTAGTTCCTTTAGAAGGTCATTTATACTGCATTTGCAGCAACTGCGTCCTTGAAATCAACATGACCACACCCACATCCAACAAACCACGCCCACATACCTCAGCCAGCCAATCAACTCATCACGTTCGTCCTTCAATCATGCATCTATTTTCTATTGCGTTCCGTTCCATTTCGTTCCCACCTCAGTCCATTTAGTCTCGTTCTGGTCAGATCTGACACGTCTTTGGGTGCATCGGTTTTTCAAAAGCTTTCAAACTTGAACAAAATCAGCTACAATATTCAAACGAGAATAACTATTCAAACTAGCAGGTCCGCAACACAGACCCTTAAAACTGCATCTCTATCTCACAAACAAAGAAGGGTAAAAAACATTGAAAACAACAAAACATTTTCCTTCTCAAGCAATCCACAGGAAGTCAAATCCCTGAACACTCTCTGATTGGCTGAGTCTGGGTTCAGAGGTCATCGTCTTTGTGGTGATGCGTTTGCATGGTGATGCCACACCTGAAGTAATGCAAAAAACAATTTGTTTGAGTATTCAAAATGAACAAAGCAACACACCTACAGATATAATGCTGTGTGATACTCACATGGCACTGCTTGCTTCATATTTGGCTTAACCTGGAAAACAAAATTCAAAATGATAATTTTAAAGTTAAAGATTCACTTTAACCTTGTAAAGCCTCGCCTATGAAATAATATGCAGAAAAAAATAATTTTCTGGAATGGAACTAAAAATTTGTGCGTGTTCATGTTTTGTGCCATATTTGATACATCAGGTTTTTGGCTCAAAAAGTATGATATAGTGAGAATACAGGGCTTTTTAAGGGGAAACACCTCAACTTTACTCAGAACAAACAGCGCAAAAACAAGCTGATATGTATATGGACAAAAAGTAGGATGAAATTCTAACAGCTTGTAATGTAAAACAAAGAGATCTTAATAACAGTAACATAAACTGCATACAAATATGTTGTCACTCTATATCCGCTCCCAATATGTCTTAATAAGATTAGATTTAAATGTTTAGTTTAATAATCAAAGCTTTGCAGCATCAAAACATTATGCAATGCAATACAATGTTGATTGAGAGATGAACAAATAAACCTTCCCCAAAAGCCTGGTGATCATATTTGACCACATTTGAACATGATTCTTCAAAAAAAATTATGCATGTATAATTAAGCAGCCAAAGTTGCTTCCGTCAAGCATTTAATCACTAACAATGCATACAAACAATGCAAAAGTTATGCTTATGTATACTTATGCATAAAGTTTTTAAAGCAAAAACACAGACACGTGATCCACAAGCTGAAGGTGGACTTATTTAGAATTATACTAAAATGCTTTTTACTTGCTAAAAAAGCATAAACTATCAGTCAGGTGACAGAATGCATGTAGTATAGATTGTGTATAACAGGATTTTGATCATGTTGATCATTTAAAGGCCTTAGAAATTTGCCCATTGAATAAGATACAGTACACTTTATAGGGTTAATAAAGATAATATCTTGCATGGGACATCTGCTAACATACTGTAAAAGCTGTAATATTCCGACACACAGAGAGATGTTGTCTGGAAGTCTCTGGTGATCCATTAATTCTCTTATCTGGAATTAGTAAAGCTGCTTCAGCTCAGTACAGTAACTAATTGAGTAGATACTCTACCACCTTGTTTCCTCAACATAGTGTTTTAATTAAATAGACCCTCTACACAGTGTAGAACAATTGTGCACATAAAACAGCTGGCTTTCGTGTCCCTCGTTATCATATGCATAAATAATGACAAATAAACGGCTGACACCAGCTTCATTAACACATCAAAATACAGTAACTTTTTTCTTTATGTATATATGTTCCCAACTGAGATTGCTGCCCATTTTGAGGTCAGTAAGATTTTTATTTTTTTTTATTATTAATTATTACTTTTATTCATCAAGGACACATTAAATTGATCAAAAATGAGAGTAAAGACATTTATAATCTTGCAAAATATTTCTATTTCAAATAAATGCTGTTCTGGAAAAAAAAGTATCACCGATTCCACAAAAATATTACGTAGCCTAATCAATGTTTTCAACATTAATAATAATAAGAAATGTTTCTTGTTGCATCATATGAATAAATTCCATTTTAAAATATATTCCAATAGAAAATGGTTATTTTAAATTGTAATAATATTTCACAATTTTACTGTTTTTACTGTATTTTGATCAAATAAATGCAGCCTTGAGACATCAGAGACATTTTAAAAAACATTCAAAATCTTGAAAGTTTGCGTGTGTGTGTGCGTGCGCATAAAATAAACGATAATTGAAAAGTGGATATTTGCAGAAATATCAAGTTTAAAGTCTGTTCATTTCATTTCAGATGCTCCAATTTTCTAATTTTTTTCACACATTTATTTCAAATTAATTCTTTTAAAATAAAATGAGCCTGTTGATGCAAGATACCATAAGTATACGTATGTATAATGAAGTATACATACGTATATGTAATGATCAATGATATAATATAAGTCATTAGTGCATTTTACCAGAGGCATGTTTTAAGTGCTGCTCTCCAGAAAATATTCACTCGGGAAACGATTCCAGCTACAGCAATTTTGAGCAAACTTTTGCTCAGAGCCTAATTTGAGTGATGGAGTCTGAAACTAGCAGAGAAAGGCCATCAGAAGCAGACCAATAAAACATGAGCGGTGGAGCTGGATGGAGAGATGAATGAACACAGCGAAGAAAGAGAAAGAACGAGCGCTATAATGAAGGTGTTTCCCAGTACGGGTTCGGCTCATAAAGGTTCAGTGTGCTGGACCCCTCTGACCCTACAGGAAGTAGTTAAAAAAACATCCAGCACCCCTCCACACACTCGTAAACAGCCTCCTCGTTAATACTAACGAGTAATTAAGCACTAACGAGCCCCCTCAGATAGCGCAGACACACGCCAGACACACACACACACCCGCCCCGTAAAACATTAGCTTTTGTTGTGTGCAGAGAGGATAAATCTCATGAAATCATTGATGTTCATAGAAAGAGGTCTGCATTCAGGAGCACCGATGCATTCTGGGTAATGTAGTTCTGATGTGGAGTAATACCTCTGTCTTTGCCACTCTGCAGCAGTCTCTCATCCTCTTCTCCTCCATCTTCTACTAAAGACAACAGAAGAGAATATATATTACGTTTGTTTATAAAAATTAATTCAGAAGCATTATACACTCCAATACAGTTTTGTAACAGTTCTGTGTCTAGAGACATTTTAAAAGTGTTATTGTTTACTAAAACTAAAATGATTACAACTAAAAAATATTGTTTTAATATTTACTGTTTGATATTTTGTTTAATAATTGAATACAAATTGTTCTCTTTCATTTAAATAAAGCTGAGATAATAATATTAATTAGATTTTTTTTTTTAATCAGTAATGTTGCCTTGGCAACTAACTGAAATAAAATAAGTTAAAATTACTAAAATTTACTAAAATTGAATAGTAAAAAAAGGCTCAAATCTAAATATTATACAAAAATAATTAAAATTACAAATGCACCTAAAAAAATTTACTTAAATGTAAACTAAACTTTTATTGAAATAAAATCTGAAAATTTAAAAATTAAAGCAAATAAAAATATTAATAAATATTATAATAGTATGTAAATAATACTAAATTAACACCTGTAATGATGGTACTCATATCAGTGTTATTTTAGTGTAACATGAAATTCTCACACCATTTCTCTGTCACAGCTGTGCGAACACAGACTACTCACAACTAGGGTTGTGCGATATGGACAAAAAAAAACCTATCGCGGTTTCTTTGATCAATATTGCGATTTCGATTTTAATCATGATTTTGACACACACAGACATGCTTTACAGTCATAAATCCATTCAGTGTGAATTTGAAACATATTTCCAAAAGAAAACCAATTAAGAGCTTTATCAAAAAGCTGTAACATGTCTCTAGAACAGACATAAGGCAAAATAATCACTAAGTAAAGGTGTAACAAAATGTCTCTAGACTAGACATATATGGCAGAAAAATAAATAAAATCCCGTGTCCAGGGATTTTTTGTTGCCATGCATTGGTCATAGAGCTCTTTGTGGCATTGCCTCAGATGTTGAACTAGATTTGTTTCGCCAAGTTCACAGGTACTCCGTCTGCAGTGCGTATACAGTATGTGTATGTGGTGCAGAAGCAGCACGGACTCATTATGCTTTCACACAGGACGCGTTTGCAGTCCGCTCCTGATCCGCGGCTGTTTACCACAAACACAACATTTATCCATTATTTTGATTTCAAATCCAAACGTTGTTTCTGAAAATGCTTTTTCAGCATTGTGATTCTCTTTTATAACAGTACAATAATACAATCTTTCATAGACATATTCGCTTTAAACTCAATAAATATAACTTTGTTTAACTACCACCACGAGTGCCATCTATTATTGCCTTGTTTATCTAAAAGTGCACTTTTCCTTGTTTTAAATCTAGCCAAAAAGCCATGTGTTGACTGTTGACTGTGAAACAGTAGACTTTAATTATATGCATTTATGGTGTAATTACAAAATTTCCGTGTCAATCCATGTTCATTTTTACCGCGAATAATGCGCTGTCACTTTAATTCAGCGCGTGCAGCACAGCAAAAATAGACTTGCGCCTGTGTCGCACTCATCCGCGGTTGAGTATACTTTGAAAGCTGTGCGAACGCGGCTGTGTGCGAGACGGAACGGAACGCAGAGAGTGAAGTATACTCGGGCCTATAGACTCCGTGCGGAAACGATCGCAGCATGACTGCTGCAGACGCACCGCTCCTGGAGCGCACTGCCGGACCGCAGTCGCGTGCAGTGTGAACGCTCTGATCCGTTAACATGGGAGTGGGAAAAATACACACCACAGACAGAGTGTGTGAACCTGGAGTTACGTTTGTATGCCCGCCCGGTCTGTTCTGTTCTCGTGCTCCATTTAGCCGCGCTGCATTCTGATTGGTTCGGATAGCATACTGCAGGAGGTCGGGGGTGTGGAAAATCGTGCTATAAAGCGATTTAGAAATCGTGCAAGCTCAAATCGCGATTTTATGACGATTTCGATTAATCGCACAGCCCTACCCACAATGCATCATGATCGTACCTGAGTTGAGCTCTTTGACCAGTGAAGACATGGTGTTTGTGATGGAGTCTGCTGCCACCAGGAGATCATTTCGCAGGTTTCTGCGAGGTCCTGTAGGATCCAAACACAAAGAAAGTTAAAAAAGGCTAAAATCACTGAATTGTTACACCACAAAAGATGCATGAACTGACATTATTTCAAAAGATTTTGTCCGTCCACAACAAAATACAAAAATAGCAACATATTTGATGTTTAATATACAGACTAACTATTTTGGACTAATGAGATGTCAAAATGGGTGGGGCTACCCAGTTCAATCCTGTCACAATCTGAATCATGTGACCAACAAAAATTCTTGTTGCTCGTCAGAAAATAAAAAACACAATAGTCTCTTTTGTGTTAAAGAGATAAATGAAGACGTTACCCTGAGCAAATGCTTCCTGAACATCTCCACCCACTCCAGCTAAAGAGTCCTGGGGCCCGTGGGTGGGGGTGTGGCCTCCGTGTGTGGGGGTGGGGCCTGACGAGGGAGAGCGAATGGGCATCTGCATAGAACGAGGGGAGGCATGGCTGGGGGAGGAGCCAGCGGCTTGAGCCTGAAGAGAGAGAATGAAAACTTCATATTGTACGAGACCTTTCTGCTAGCACTAAAAACTACTGACTGTGTGTAAAAGCCTATGTAAATGCATATACACATCAAAAGTGAATTCTCTGCGCGAAACTAAAGCCAAACTGAAATAAGAGAGGCTGGGTAAAAAATAAAGCCAACGGCAAAGAAAGGATTGCTGAAACAAAACAACTTACATTTTTATGGAAAACTTAAGTCTTAAAATATGTGCTACTACTTCTAACATGTAAAAAGATGCATTAATATTTTTGGAGAACTTACAGCAGACACTGGAAGTTAAACATCGGGAGAAAAAGAAAGAGATAATTACGTCTCAATAAAAAAATTAAAAACAATGGAAAGGAACTTTCACATAAACAAATGAGAGACACGGAACAATTTTTTTTTACATGCACAGTATGTAAAAAACACACTCAAACAGTGCATTTTCATATCCCCATATTCATGTACTAATACACTAGCTAAAATAGTACAAGCACCAGTTTTAAAGATGGAAATCATATTAGTTGCAATGTTTATTTTTTCATAATATTACAAATGAGTGAGCCTCAGTGCTATTTTATTTATATACTAGAATAGTATAATTTCACATTTTGAATCAGCTTTTATTTTATTTTTCATTTTCATTTTAATCTTATGTTGTAATTTTTATTAGTTACATTCTTAGCCATTTTTATTTGCTTTAGTTATTTTTATAAGTTTCTGTTTTTTTAATATTTCTATTTAATTTTATATTTATTTCAGTTAGTGGCCAAGGCAACATTTCTTTTTTTTAAGTACATTTTTTATTTAATATTTATTTTAGCTTTATTTCACTTAACAATTTTGAATAGTTTTAGTTAACAATAATAACACTGCCAAGCATAAGCAGAGTTTTATTTCACTACATTGGTTTGACTGAATGTTGTTATTTTTGTCATGTTTTGTCACTTAAAATATATGTAAAATATAGTAAAATATACTCTACACATGGTAGAATACTTCCTGCTAAAAAATAATAAAAAAAAACTGGTAGTAAACAAAATGTTTCAAAAGTCTACTTTGGGTTTTTATGAATGATCAGTTTGTAAAGTAGGTGTCCTTCTTTTAGATTTCCTTTTTTTTTTTTTATTAAAAAAAGAAAATCAATAACAAAATAACATCAGGCATGAATTTCGAAGCTGCTATGTTTTATAAAAACCTAAGTTACTATACATATGTGATTGTCTGATTTGTGAAGCATGTAAACTCAAATTATGGCATTGTGATTATTTAGCAACATAGCAACTTACATTTTAAGAGCAATATGTGTTTAATGTTGTAGAACCTTATTTTACTCAAATCAAAAACTGCTATTCTAAAAATATTCTATGCTATTCTACAGTCTAAATCTCTATTTATCTACATATTTGTGTAAGTGACTTTTAAATGTGCATAGCAAAATTGTATGAAATCACAGTCATTTCTCTGACATGCACAGTGAAACACACACTTACAGCTTGTCTCAGCTCCTCATCCTGCAGGAACAGGACAGAGATGGAGGAAAAGAACACAGGGAGTGAAAAACAGAAGATGAGAGCAAGTATTACCGCTATCAAGAAGAAGTGAAAAGTGGGAAACTAGATCAAGCGTCTAAGAAAAGGCAGCAGCTCAGATGATAAACTCTAAAGAGAGTAACGCCCTCCAGTGGCTGAAATATTACAGTGTGTTTGTTTTTGTGGTGTCTGGTCTTGCCCTGTGTGTCTGGTGTACCTTCAGTAGTTTCATGAGTCCTTCCAGCTGCACCATGAGCTCTCTCCTGCTCTCCTGAAGAGACGACATTCTCTGCTCCAGCTCATCCTTCCTCTGCCTAAAACACACACAAACACAAGCACAGAGCTTAGACCTCTCCTCTCATACATGCAATGATTTCTGAGAGAATGAAGTTTATTAGACAAAACCATCATTCAGATTTAAACTACAACATGTTTTGGTAGATTTATTTTTACATTTGAGAAGTGCTTCAATTGTCCTCTTGAGCTGTTTTTGTTTTACATATTTGATATACATTTGACATATATTCGAGGGGATGTTTCCAAAAATGTGTCCCGGCAAAACTTGTGCAGCAGAATTAAACTCTTTTACACATTTTTGACAAGTTAAACTGGAACTGGTCTAATGGGAATCTGATGGGAGAAGTCAGAGAGAATAATGGCAAAAAGTAAAACTGTCTAGACAAAAAAAGGTGAATGAATAAATACATTTCATTATCAAAAACATTTTATTCCAGTGATTTAGAGGGAGAAATAATTGAAGGATTTTATGACATTTTCCCAACAGTTTAAAAAAAATAATAATAATGTATCTTGTAAATAATGTTTTATAGTAATAAATAAAAATGATGGTAATATTTTACAATAAGTTACCATTTGTTAAAATTAGTTAAAGAATTAACATGAACTAACAATTACAAATAAATAAATATATATATATATATATATATATATATATATATATATATATATATATA